GCTTCCTTCATGTTCCAAATGCAGCACTGATTTGGAAAAAACACAGGCACTCACTTTCTTCCCTTTGGAAAGAACCCAGCCCCTTGCTCAGTGGGTGGGGAGTATGAAGGTGGATCATTCTTCCTCCAACCTGTGGGATTTTATAGTTTCTTCCTAAGAATTCTGAAACATAAGCTTGAAACTGCAAACCCTTCAAGCCTGGGGACTGACCCAGGTTTAACTTGCTGTTGCGTGGAAACTCCTTTGCTTTCCAGTTCAAATGTAAGTGTTTCCTTCATTTTGCTATTTCAAATCCTTTTGCCATGGGGTTCCCTGGGGGTGGATGCCAGGGTGTTGCCTAGTTTATTTTACCACCCTGTGCTGCTCCCTGTATTCCCTGTGGTGCTGCAGCCCCTGCTTCTGTGGCTCACTCACTCCTGGGAATCTGATTAGCAGCACGCAGCACTCAGGTTTCAAGCCTCCAAAGACAAGCAGCAGTTTTTAGTCCAGTAAGACACAATGAGTCAGCCCCAGATCCCACTGCACCATCCGCGGTCTCCTGCCTGCCTGCTGGTTTGAAATGAGATAACTTTCCTGATTATTGGTTTTAATTAACTTTTTGATTAATTGTTTTAACAAACATAAGTAGTGTATTAGTCTTTAGCCATGCAATTTTCCATTTTAGCCAGCACGTAGTTAAGTTTTTTTTTACTGACTGTTATTGTTAGAGTGTGATTATTAGATCTCAAAAAACTTTAAGTTGAACTAACTCTGTGTCATGGTTTGACACGGGAAGAGAATTTTTCTTTGGAAGGAAGAGGTCCATCCAGTCAGGGGTCAGGTTTGGATACTGACACTTGGGGTGACCAATTGAAGGTGGACACGCCTCTGAGAACACAGAGGCGTTAAAAGCGGAATTCCCAGGAGGACTCGTTCTTCTTTGGTTCCGGTCACCGCAAGGTACAGACCTCCCCTGCCCAGCCCGGGCTGGGTGGGGGAGGCGAGCCATGCGGCCTGCGGAGGTAGGCCAGGGGCTGAAGGATTGGAACCGGCTGGGCCACCTCCTGCGGACGGAAGGGTGGAGAACATCTGGGATGTCTTTGTTCCCCCTCCCCTAAGCTAGAGGGAAAAGAGATAGAGAGCCAGCAGACACCTAGGAGTTTGCTGCCCAGCGTGGGAGATGGGAGACGGAGTCCTGGGCTGAGATTGCAGCCGTCCGGGGAGTCCGGGAATTTTAACCCTTTCCTGTGAAATGAAGGCTTTATGAAATATTACTCCTCCTGAATTTGAAGGAAAGAGAGACAGCCTGGGACCTCAGATGTTCAGAGAAGAAGGTTTGGGGAAGATGATAGAGTGGCTTTTGGCTGGACTCTGCTTGTTTACCATAGACTGAACCACTCTTTCTTTCAAGAGGGACTGCATTTTAGGGGGATGCACTGGTGAGCCAAGAGACCTTCTTCAGCAACTACCAGTATTGGAATGGACAGAGAGAGCTGAGGAGGGTGTGAGGATGCCCTCCATCTTCAGAGAAGAAGAGAAGAGAAGGCGATCTCTGTCCTTGGACCCTCGGCCCCAGGGGAAAATGGGGGCACTCTAGTCCCGAATTGTGATACTGGACTGATGTTCCTGGTGGTCCTTGGCAAAGCATCCTTAAAGGGGCCCTATAAGCAGTCTCTGTCCATGCACGGTGGTGAGAGCACTGTGACATGGAGAGGAGAATGTCACACTGACCGGTGTGTCTGGGCGGTGCCACGTGTGACATTGGAAACACAAGAGGTGGCAGCTGTGTTTCCTGGGGGTCTGTGGTCCAAGGGGGACTCCTCTCTTCCCGATGGACTCAGTATTGATTATATTGAAGGGTGAAAACTTGATTAAGGATCCAAATGGGTCTCGCTGTGGTTTGGTGGAGTTGGGTGGTGGGAGGAGGAATGTTTTGGAAGGTTTTCATTTCGAATTTTGTGTGTTGTTTTTTTTTCTTTCCTTTCTTTTCCTTTTATAGTAGTAGTAGTAGTAGTGTAATAAAGTTTTTCCTTTGTTATTAAGTTTGGCCTGCTTTGCTCTGTTCTTGATCACATTTCACAGCATTTGATTGGTAGGTTGTATTTTCATGGGGTGCTGGCATTGTGCCAGCGTCAAACCATGACACTCTGATAAGCTTCACTGAAAAAAAGCCCTTGGGAGTTAAAGGCTGGACACCTGGAATCCAGAATTTATAGCCCTCCAAGGACATGTGGAAGTAACCAGAAGATAAAGAAGAGACTAACAAAAGTGATTCAACATGTTCTGGAGACCCTCTGTCTAGGAAAAAGATAATAAGAAAACTAAAAATGTGGACTAACTAGCATGAGAACTGAGAAAGAAATACACAATAGAAGATAGAATAATAATTGATGCAAAAAAATGTGTAATATATAACAAATGAATATTAAATTATTTGCTAAAAATGTATAAAAAACGGAAAAGTTTTGAAAGTCATGTGCATCTAGGTGGAGCACGTCACCCTAAAATAAACTAATGCCTACTCCCTAATACTACAAAAACAGTGTCAGAGAGTTTCATTTATCTTTATGGTTTTGGCAACATACTGGCAAGTCTCTGGGAATCAGCTGGCAGGAAAACTCCAGAGACTGTCAGTGAGTAAGAGCAGGAGTGACTGTGGGAGCAGGACAACAGACATTCAGCGGGAGTAGTGGCAAAGTGAGCAACATCCACATGCACACACAAACCAGACTGCTGGACTCTTCCTCCTCCTGTGGTGTGTAAGCTCCCATCTTCATCTTTGTTACCCAATAAGGTTTAAAAATGGGATTCAGAGTGTTTACAACCATCTGCCAGGAAAAAGAGGAGAATCATCCCTATTCCATGCAAAGACAAAATGCAGAGTCCAGGCTGGCAGTGGACTGATGAACAAAAGGCTGGCAACAAGCCAAGATTCAAAGCCTGGATGGGGACACGTTGGTGCTCAGGCCTCCTGTGGAAAGGAATCAAACACCAGTAACCTTTGATGTTTTGGTTTGGTTTGGTTTGGTTTTTGGTGCTTGTCTTCCTACAGAAAATAGGATCTGAGGTTCTAGGTTTCTCAGCCATTCAAGAAGTGTGAAATAATAACAACTGCTTAGATACAACATTTCCAGCATTTGCACCTGCGGGTGATTTTGGGCTCAGAAGGGCAGGCTCAGCTCAGTAATTCATGAGAAACCCTGCTATAAGGGTAGCCACTGCAATGAAGAATTCTTGAGCAGTTCACCAGCCTCCATCCTGTGGCTGCCTCTGCTGAGAAATGTAGACAAACAGTCCAAATATTAAATGTTTCTAAGAAATAATTTTCTTCATGATTGGCCATTTAGATCACACACCTACATAAGCACTGATATTCAGCCTAAGAAAGCAAAGGGATAGAGAACTATTCTTACTAGATCCAGAAAGCACAGGGCTAAATGTCATCTAAAGGAAAGGTAAATACTGAAACTGTCAGTGATAGTAAAAGGGTTTTAAAATCATGGGGATTTAGGGTTAAAAGGAAAAATAAGCTTAGTAGGCCCTGGAAAAATAAACACCCTAAGCACATGAAGAACTTGCACTTGCTAGAACTGCAACTGTGTAGCTAGTACATGATAAATTATATAATTGTTAGATGTGATGATTGTTTAGTAATTAAATAGAATTATTGTTTAATCATAAGAATAATAATGAGAAACTGTGGTCAGGTACCTAAGAAAGATCACAAGAAACTCATGTCAATGTATACAATAGAGCAATATAAGTTTAATAATTCATATGTAAGTTATATAACGATAGAATATAAAATACGTTCAGCTCGATAGCCATGTTGGAGTCAGATTTGGGTCTGGACCCCTGATTCCCAGAGCTCTTAATGAAAGCACCTGTATATAATCATATCCCGTGATTATGTGTGTTCTGGAACGCTAACATCAGGGGCTTGTGGTGTTTTTTTGTTATTTTATGGGGTTTGGGTTTTTGTTTTGTTTTTAATTACCTGTGACTTCTCAGTTTAAAAATAAAAAGAACAGACAAAGATCTGAGCCTTCACTATTTGTCTAGTTTTGAAGCCATTTTAAATGGCTCTACACAAGTTTTTCCCAAGCTGGAGGGTTCTCCAGACCCAAGATTGTCACTGATCAGTGCATGAGAAGTCCACCAAGAACAATGGAGTGAGAGCAGCTGGTCCAACTCGGATTGTGAAATCCGGGAGGCTGCATATTGTCATAATGCAAATAATCTTTATGTGTCAGACCGAAAGAACAATTCTAAAGAATTGTTTGATTAGATTAGGAACTTTCAAGTTCTTTGGATCTACAGCCACAGCTTTTCTCACTTACTAATGATTATTAGTTAATTAATGTAGCTGGACATCAGAAAATGACCCAAAGCACTGCACAGAACCAGCGGAGGACACACTGTTGGCGTTCTATAGCTCTATAGCTAACATCTGAAGTATACTTTTCTGGCAAATATCCAAAAAATGCAAACCACTTCCCTTATAGATCTTTCTTGTTACTTTTCCTGAGGAAACCAAACATCGAACAGCAACAAGAGGCGGAAATAGTACTTAAAATTCTGCAATGCCTTCTAACACCATATTTAAAATTCCAGTTTAAAGGGAAATAATGTCCAGAATTCTAGGAGTATTCCAACAATGCACTTATTGCTCGTCATCACAATATGAATATGTGGAACCCATGTCACAGATTTTGTAGATAAACACACACCAAAAAAATTTTGAAGAGTACAAAAGATTCATTTAGAGCATATATTTTCCAAACAAAACACCTAAATTGCGGATGGCGAAAAAAGCAGTTCTCATAGACACTGGGAAAACACATCAACGAAAAGCTTCCTCGCAGACGCGACCGCCGCTGGCACCAGCTCCGGCCCCAGAGGGCGGCCCGAGGAGCCGGCGCTCCGCTCCGCTCGTCCCGCCCCGCTCCGCCTCGCTCCCTCCCCGGGGCCGCCTCTCCCTCCGCCCCGGCCCCGGGACCGCCTCTGCCCTGCCTTCGTCCCGGCCCGCCCGCTCTTCCCTTCCCTCCTCCCGGCCCGGGGCCGCCTCTCCGGCCCTGCGGCCCGCCAGCGCCAGCGACGTGGTGCCGTGCCGTGCCGTGCCGTGTTGTGCCGTGTTGTGCCGTGGCGGTGGCGCAGCCATGTGGGTGGCGGCGCTGGCGGCGCTGCTGGCAGCGGCGGGGGCGCAGTACGAGCGCTACAGCTTCCGCAGCTTCCCGCGGGACGAGCTGATGCCGCTGGAGTCGGCCTATCGCTACGGGCTGGACCAGTACAGCACCGAGAACTGGCCCGAGAGCGTCAGCTACCTGGAGGTCAGCATGCGGCTGTACCGCCTGCTTCGCGACAGCGAGGCGTTCTGCCACCGCAACTGCAGCGCGGCCGGGCGGCCGCCCCCCGCACCCCCCGCGCCCGCCGGCGCCGCGCTGGAGGAGCTGCGCCTCCTGTCCGGGGTGCTGCGGCGGGCGCAGTGCCTGCGGCGCTGCAAGCAGGGGCTGCCCGCCTTCCGACAGGCGCAGCCCGGCCGCGAACTGCTCGAGGAGTTCCAGCGCCGCGAGCCCTACAAGTACCTGCAGTTCGCCTACTTCAAGGTGAGCCCCCCCGCCCCACTCTTCTTGAGCCCTCCTCCTTTCTCCTCCCATCTCTCTGCCCTGCCTCTGCTCCCCTCGCCTCTGTCGGAGGCTCTCCTCGAAGTCTCGCCTGGTGCGGTGCCGCCCTCCAGGCACGCCGAGCGCGCCTGTCGGTGTCGTGGTGGAGGCGGACAGCTTGGATTGTCACAGGACAGCCTCGACAGACCCCAAACGCCTCGTTCCCCCAGTGCTAGAAAAACCTCCTGGCTTGCCGAGCTCACACCTGGCCCTCGGAGCAGGTTACTCTGGGCCACAACCTCATTCCCCATCACCTCCTCCACACCAGTTCTCATCTGCCTCATCTTCATTTCTTCCCTGCCCCATGGTCAGTCCTTGCCCCCATGGCTGCCAACCCTACACTTTGTAATTCTCTCCTTGACAAACCTTTCTGCTGTTTTCTCCCACTCCTGTAACACACAGCGGGATTAGTGTGTGCCTTGTCTTTCCCCCTGCTTCCCCACATATCATCCAGCTCGCTCTTCACACGTTTTTTATAACTCATCCAGCACGTGCCCTAGAGTGAGCCCTTCCAGTTCTTCCTAGACATCTGCCTCTGTGTCCAGTAGCTGTGTCATTCCTGCCCCTCTCATCTTTCCATCTGCCTTACTTTCTAACCTTCTCTGGAACCTTTTTCAGACTCTTCATGTCACAGCTCTGCTATTGCAAATGATCTCCACTACTTCTTCTCCTTCAGCGTGTCCACCTTCTTCACTTGCTCGTTTCTGGTCCAGTTCTTTCAAGTGCAGCAGCCCTCAGCCTGTGACTTGCAGATAGTCTCATGCCTGGAATACTCCAGTTTCATTACAGCTGCAAGAAGGAACAAAGCAAAAACTGGCTGCTGAAGTGGGACACTATAGTGTGAGCCCTGGAATGGTATTTACCTTTTGCTCTTGGGTCAGCCACGGCTGGGGACACACTCCTCTCATAACAGATTTCATCCCATTTTTCTAGCTTTTCATTCTTCTGTCCAGGGTCTAATTGATTATTTCTCTCGTCTCATCTTCACCTTCTGTTCTCTATATCAAGGTCCATCCCTCTTGCCATCCCCTCAGATACTGCAATTATTTCCATTTGAAATAAACAGGGCCCCTCTGTGGGGAGGAAACAAGCTGAGCTCTGGTTAGATTGTTTTCTCTTTAGGGATTCACTTCCAATGTATCCCAGTACACATCACATAGGGTTGTTTGCTTGTCCATTATTTTGAGGTTGCCTCTTGAAAAAGCACATCATCTAAACTGTTGCTGCCCTGTTTTTAGGAATGCTGTTTCCTCAGCAGTTTTTTCCAGACACTTGCAGGGAAATGTGTTCTCACAAAAACAGAACAGGATTCACATGCAGTGTACCACACTGGTGTCTAATGCCTTCCTTAAGACCATACAAAAGAATTTAACTTGATATATTAAAGTCTCTGCCTTTTTTTTTTTTAACTGAGAGGGCAGGAATTCCTCGAATTCTCAAAGCCATATATGGATACCAAAATGACATCACTGCAAATGTTTCCTCTTCTTAACTATTAATTCCCCCCTTGTGGCACATACGAAGTTTGCACTGTACAGATAGCACCAAATATAATTTCTTCTTATCATTTTGAATACAGTCAAGTAACTGCCAGGTGTGAGAGGGAAATTGGAGGAATCCCTCCCCTCCCTTTTAACTCTTTTTTCAATCACATTTGCATTAAGTTTGAGCAGCATGGTTTGGTGGTTTTGCCTTTTGTGTCTTGTTTATACTGTGTTTCATACTGGATTTGCAGTCCAGTTCTGAGCCCTTATCTCTCTCGGGGAGTTCTAAATAGGCCTTCTAGAACTACAAACTGCTGCATCCAAAGGACTTTCTCCTGGCTAGTGGTTTTGTGAAAGGAATGTCCTTTCACCCACCCCTCCACCCTCCGAACAGCATTTATAGTAGAGGAAGAAGCTGGAGGGAAATGCTTTATGTAATTTTTTAGAGTAACCATGTGTGTATTCAGGTGGGCTCCACAGAGAAATTTGCCACGTTGTAAGATTCTGGGAGTAGCTGTTCCTGCACTGCTGCTTGCTCCTCTGGAGGGAGCCTTCTCAGAGCTACTGAGTTCACTTAGGAGTGTGTTTCTACAAAGCCTTTTTAAATTTTTTTTTTTCTAAGAGGTGAAAATTGAAACCAAGAGTGAATCATGGACCTAAGTAAAATTGAGACTTATCAGCCTACCAAAGAAACAGGTTTACAGCTGCAGCACAGAAGAAACCAGGCATTTGACGAAAGTGCAGCTGAGATTTTTCCCTTTGCATTTAGCATGGTGGGGGCGGACTGGAAACACGTAGTTTTGGGACAGCCAGGAAGGGCAGCTGGCAGTGCTCCTGGGCTGGGACACTCTTAGTGGCGCAGCAGCTGTGGGTGTGTTGAAGTTTTGCTCCTGTGCAGCCATCTCTCAGGTTCCTTTCCAAAATCAATGGGCACCTTTTGTGGGTGCAAGCAGAAGGGTACGTGTGCACCCTGTGATTCTTGCTTGTGGTTTCAAACATGTGCTGCCAGAAGCTATTTCACATGTGAGGGGGAGCTCTGTATCACCTGTACATCAGTACACTGAACAGCCTAGAAAAAGGGTTTTAACAGTTCACAAATACCCCAGACTTTTGCTTTCTCTCTCACTCTTCCTAAATATATGCATATATACTATATAATTTATGAAAATATGCATGTGTGTGTATATATATATAAAATTTTAAGAAATCGTGAATGGCATGCACACAAAAGTACATATGTGTTTGGTACATGCACTTGTAAATGAGAAATGCACACTTCACAAAGTATATCTAACAGGGATTAAAGTTAGTTTAAAAATGGGCACAGAAAGTTGCTTTAGGACACAATTTTTGACCAAGTCTCTGCAGTATGTTCTAACTTTGCAATGCCACCAAGGAAGATGTATTATTGTAATAATGTCCTCTGTGCTGCTAGGCAAATAAGTGACGTAAACACAAACAGTGAAGACTCCTGACTACTATCCTTAGGTTAGGTTAGCATCAGTACTTACTGTGAGATTAATCCCTCCCAGGAGCCCTGGTATATTGCCTTGTCAGCTCTATGAACAGGGGAGGGGCAAGGGATAAAACCTAATCTTTTTGATTTACAACAATCATCTATTCTATCTGTAAGAATGATAGACTTCTAAAGTTAAAGGAAATTATTCACAGTGTTGCAGCTAGGAGTAAAACTGAGAGGAATTATGTCAGTTTTGTAGCATTGTATCTGCTGAGACTGCTCTCAGCAGAAGTAAATTTGCGAATATAGAGAATGCAGGAAAAAATCATTGAGAAAACTGGGAACCTTTGACCTGTTTTGTTTTGGTTTAATTTTTTCTCCAGTTAATGTTTTTTTTTTTTTTTAATACCTTCTTTTCCCTGTCCCTGTTTAGGCTAATAATCTTCCAAAAGCTATTGCAGCAGCTCATACATTTCTTCTGAAGCATCCAGATGATGAAATGATGCAAAGAAATATGGCCTACTACAAAAGCATACCTGATGCTGAGGAGCATATTAAAGACTTGGAGACAAAGCCTTATGAGGTAAGCTTTTTATTCAGAAGAGTCTGCTCTTTTGGAACTGTTCCATTACTCCTCCTGTTGGGTGAAATTCAGGGGATCCCATTTGCTTATGTGTTCTCAGTTCTTAATCTCCCTGTTTTTGTCATCTCAGTCGTCTTTGTTCTGCCTTCTTGATGCATTCAATAATTCTCACCTCTCCTGCACTTCATTTTTCCATAAATGAGTCACAGCCAATCCGAGAGTGGCGTACCTGAAAGCTGCTACACTCCTGGAGCTAAGCAGGTGCCTAGTTATCCAAATTCATGAGTGCTGTAGTGGCACAGATGAAAATAGCTCAGACATTTGGCTTTAAGATTCCATTGAAAATCTCTGTCACAACCTGCGCTTCAGACTCACACTGTTGCTTCTCTCCAGCAGGCTTTTCTTTTGATTGGAAATGGAATTACATACTCTGCTCTCTAGGAAATACCTCTTAAAATCCATTAGTCTCCTGTATTTGTTCTCACATCATCTGGAGTGCAGCTCATACAGAAATGTGGAGACATCACTTACTTTATTTGAGTTTACACAACCCTTCTCATGGGTCAGTTACTGCTGATTCATTCCTGCCAATTTTTCAGAATCTCTTTGTCAGGGCTGTGAGAGCGTACAATGGCGACAATTGGCGGACATCCATCTCGGACATGGAACTGGCTCTTCCTGATTTTTTCAAAGCCTATGATGACTGCATAGCAGCCTGCGAGGGCTCCCGAGAGATCACAGATTTCAAAGATTTCTATCTTTCCATTGCAGGTGGGTGGTTATGAAACATGAAGGAAACATGTCCCCAAAGTGCATTTCAGTTTATTCATAGGATTGGTTACCCAAGTCCTGTTCCTCATTTAGGCCAATAGGAGTTTATTAGATTCACTTGACACTGTTTGAATTCTGGTTTACTTTTTTGCTCTTGTCAGTAACATAAATTAGGTCTATCAGGAAATAAGAACAGAGATCTTACATTAGCATGGAAGTTCTGTGCCAGAGTAACATAGATGTGTAAATAACAGCTGGTCCATTTGGGTAGCAGTGGTCATCCAGCCAGATCGCTTGACCATCATTTCAGTATCAGTTTGGCCACCTTTGAGGCTCAGTGGTTAGTTAGACTGCCTTTGAAATCGGCTTTGTGGTGTGTGTAGGTCTGGTGATCTTCATCTCTTTTCTCCTAAGTATGACAAAGTTATATTGGCTATTTTTAATCTTTCCTACATTTGAGTTTTACTAGTAGGTAACATCTATATTTTGTGTGTATTCAAAAAAAAAACAAAAACAAAAACAAAAACAAAAACAAAAACAAAAACAAAAACAACCCACAAAAAAACCCCATTGCTTTGCAAAGGAAAAGGGACATCAACTTTTTGATTGTTGTCAAAATGGCACTTGCACATTTCCTATGCTCTTTGGCAGTGAAAGAAACAAGTAATTTCTCCAATGCTCTGACAGCTCAGTGTTGTTTGCAGTATTTTTGTGGAGAACATCTGCATGTTTTCTCAGTAAACTTAGAAATTCTCTTGCACTTTTTATGTTTTGAGTTGCCCTAAGGAAAAACATTCAAACTTTTTGTCCTAAAGCCATAATATGTCTTGGTGAGGGGAAGCTTTTGTGAAGTATGTTTATATATGTGCAGCTTCAGTTTTTCATGGTGTGCAGCTGGTATCGACCAGTACAGCTGACATGGAATGGCTATTGCAGGCTATTCCTCAAGGCTTTACTTCCTCTTGGGCAAAACATGCAGGTGTCTGGGATAGCAGATACAGAGTGAAGCACAAGTCACAGGAAGTAAAGCAAGAAATACAGACTTTCTTCCCTAGAGGGTCAGAGCTCTGACATCAGGATAATCCCCAAGCCACTTTGAAGAGTAGTGTCTATGCTCAGTTGTGGTTGACTCATACTGTCACCCTCCCTCTTCCTCCTTGAAAGGGAAGGACAATTCCCAGCAGTAGTGATGGGAAGGAAAGGCAGGAATTACTGCATGATGTCACCATGGCCATGTTCCTGCATTTCAACTATTTCACTCTTGAGATAAGAACACTCAGATTAATTTGCACTGCCTGGGTTGAATCATGCTCTTGTTCCAGGGAGAGATATTCTGCCTTCAAGGGTCTGCAGTAGCAGATGTAGCAGTAAGTGTTAACCAGAAGTATTTGGGTCTTACACTAGATATGTATTTATCACTGAGCAGTGAGTTGTGTTAGGAAGCCAGCTGTCCTCATTGCATGGCATCACTTCACTGAGGGACTCACATCTCTGGCTTTAACTGCTGTCTGGAATTGAACTGTGTCCAGATTCCACTGCTCTTGTAAAAGATGGGTCTGGGAATTTCATTTGGCCAGTTATTTTTAGTTTCAGCAGTTACATTTAATTAATCTCAGTGTTCTTCATGTTAGGAGTTGTCAGGGATGAAAAGTGTTCTTTTGTCTTAGTCAGAAGCTTGCTGCACGAGCTTAGCTTACTTGCTTTCACCTGCCAAATGTGGCTAACAGGGAAACTAAGACTTTAAAATACTTATTTTCCATGCTGTTGATGAATGTGATGTATCTAGAAAATGCTGGAAACTTTTTGCTGGAAGATTATCTTGAAATGTATTTTCTTGAAGATAAAGTTAGCTATAGTCCTATATTGCATAATATATAGCAATTTTTAAACTGGGTAAGCTTTGAACTTACATGTTCTTGGCTGAAAGTTTTTCTGTGGTGAGCAGCATATTCTCCTCTTTCTTCTCCCTTAAAACATCCAAAGTCTGGGCCCATAATGCAGCCATCTCTGGAGGTCTATTTTGCAATCACCTGTTGTATCTGTGTGTGACACAGTTGTACTCAGCAGCATGGGGACCTTATTTGTGCAATAATGTAATGAAATTGCTAAGGTTTGCAAAATTTAGAAAAGGAAAGAAAGCACTGTGAAGTTTACAGCTAGGACATAATGTAGTACTGTGTGATACTCTATAATCACCAACCACATGCTGCCTGTAGGTGTCAGTGAAACCTAAGTGCTCAGTTCTCTGGAATTCCAGCTCTGATGCCTTAAAAGTCAGCCACACAAATTTTTACAGAAGGGCCTAGTACCTTCATGCTTCAGATGGTGTTGTAGATTCGCAGTACTTCCAAGCAGCAAGATCCAGATGCACAGGACCCAGGAGAGCATTATAAGGCCAAATTTTAATGGGTGACTAATGGGAGTGATTATAACAATTCACTCTGTGCTACCCATATCCTCTGTTGCTGTTTTCTTCCTTCCAGATCATTATGTTGAAGTCCTTGGATGCAAAGTGCAGTGTGAGAGCAATCTGACACCCATTGTAGGAGGCTTTGTCGTTGAAAAATTTGTGGCCACCATGTACCATTACTTGCAGTTTGCATATTATAAATGTAAGTAGTAATTTTTTGTGCTTAAATAACACTGATGTTGGATGATCAGATTACATTCATAATATTTCCCTCTAATTTAATGCTTTAGAATGTAAGTAGCGGCCTCCAGAATCTGCATTTTAAACCCTTCTGGGACAGAAAATCTAAGTTTCCTGGTGTCTTTTGCACCCTGTTACCACTGCAGTTAACAGACATGGGACAGAATTTTTTCCACAGACAGACATACAGAGTATTTCATAGTATTTGCTTTTTCCTAGTGATTCTTATCATCCTGTTAGAATGGGGCTAAATGGAGTTTGAAGAAAGAGGGGACCACTTAACAGAAATTGTAGTCTTCGGTACTCAGTGATGACATATTTGATAGGTAAATTTATCAGTGAAAGTTGTGGTTTCTTGAGGAGCTGCTTGCAGTGTAAAGAACACATGTAGCCCGTACAGCTGTTCCTGCAGGCTCCAATATCAAAGGGAAGACACATCAGCCATGTAGCATCAAGCCATTAATGACTCTTGCTTGTGTTGTTTGACTACACACTTTACACCTTGACTCTTCCCTCTTTATCAATCCTACTACAGAGAAGTAAGGAGGGGTTTAATATATTTTTGTTTGTTTTTTACATAAGTGCCCCAGTGCGTATCACCAAGCTGTGGGCTGATATTGGGATAACTGGGAGGAACATTTGGTTAGGATTTTCATAGAAAACCATCAGAGGCTGATGATGATGATGATTTTTGCATTGTGGCCTTATGTGTTTCAGAACAAAAATAGCATATAGTTTTGGGGGAGCAATTTTTTATGCAGCTGGTGAGGAGGTAGAGAATGGGCTGTGTTTCCATTTGAGTGTTCCAGAGCTTAGATAATAGCAGGAATTTTTTCATTTACCTTACCTGGATTTTTCGGTGTGTGTTTATTAGTGAATGACATGAAGAATGCAGCTTCTTGTGCTGCCAGTTACCTTCTGTTTGACGAGAAAGATGAAGTAATGAAACAGAACATGGTCTATTACCGGTACCACAAAGACAAATGGGGACTTAAAGAGGAAGATTTTCAGCCCAGATTGGTAGGTGAATTACCTAAAATGCCTTCTAGACACATTCAATTATTTCTCTGAAACTCAGTGGGAAAATGTGAGATACTTTCTGGTTCTGGGGTTTTTATTAAAATTGTTTTATTAAAATCATATAGAAAGTTGTACACAGAGATGTAGTGTGTCATGTAAACAGCAGTGAATGTCATTCTAACTCTTCCCTTTTTGTTGAAATATGCTATGTTGACATGTAATATATGATGAGAAGTAAACTCATGCTGGTACTTCTCTGACACTTAGGCATACTTATATCTTTATGTACCTTTATAAATAAAGCAGCTGGCCCCTGAAATCTCTGATGATGAAATCTCTGAGTGACATTCAGGCTTTTGTGAATCATTATTTGCCAACACATAGTTGCCCACTCGCTTGTTATTTCAGGTTCTGTGGGCATTAGAATGTGTCTGAATATGGTAACTCCAGCTAAACTGACTTTCCACTTACTCCATTTAGAACACTGTTGGGTGGATGAGGATGGAAAAAGGCCCAGGACTGTATTGGATCTAATTATCTAAATTAAAATGCTTGCTGTAAAGAAGACACCAGTCCATCCAGCAGCAGTTGTCATCTGGCTTTGGAAAACTATTTTAAAAATGGGTTTTAATGCTGTTCTTACATTTCCATGTCCGGGGAAATTTTACAACCTGCACTGTGATACCAAATTAGATTTTCCAATGTTTCTTGTTACCAGGATTTAAGTCATGCAGCTAAATTGTGACACTAACCGACTGCTTAGGCATGTCATATGGGCTGTACAACTAGTTAGTCATTAGCAATACATGTTCTACAAATTAAATTTAGTGCCTTCTAGTCATGCCTCTTGGAGCATACGCTTTATTGGCACAGTGGGAATCCAGGCGTGCCCTGCAGGGCCAATGAGACAAAAGGCAGCAAAAAATGCATTTGGTTTTTTCAGGCAGCAGCAGCAAGTCTGAGCTCACTGGGGAGGAGACTGCTCCTTTATCACTGCTTTTGCGAGCAGAATGGTGCTTTATAACCATATTGGAGACAAAGTTTGGTGGTGGTGGGAGTGAGGGATGGCAACAATATGAAACAGCAAACCGCAGACATATTTGGCATATGAGTGCAGAGGGGTCAGAACAAGGGCCCTACACATGCACTCTGAATGTTTCATTGATAACTTCTGGAGCTGGGGACTACAGATAATTTGATTTTAAAATACAAAATATTAAATGCACACAGCTGTATTTTCTTGTACTTTGATCTATGTAGCTAGAAACAGAAGTTGCTTGCTGTCCTAATTCACTTGCCTTGAAAACAATAATACATCTGGTTTATTTTCAAGAAATGGTAATGGGGTGACGGCAACATTTGTCTCTGGCACTAACCTTTAGATGTTCTTGGGAAATTGGGAGTCTCCTTTGGGGAGTTTTCTTCCCCAACAGGAGTTAAATAGAATAGTCAAAGTAGATGGCAGCTGGTACTCACAAATGTGAGAGTATGAGAGCTACTTGTGCTGTCCGGGCACACAGCAGGGCAGTGAGGAGGGACAGGTGAGTGACCTTGCAGAGTTTCCCTAGCCCAGGCTGGGCTGGTGAGTCATTATCATGCCAAACAGCTCAGTGTGTCTCTTTCCCAGAACTGCCTGCGGCCATAGCCAGCACAGGGAGACAGAGGCTTTCTGCTGTCCAAAGCCCACTGGAATGCAGGCACAGGCTGCTGCTCAGCCCTGCCAGTCTCATTCCCTATTCTCAGGCTCGCCAGTGCTTTGAAACCTGAGAAGGAGGAGAGTGCTTTGTTCTTGCAGTGAGAGAGCCTGTGCTTAGGAAGATCCACAGAAGTGTTTGGAATACTCTGTTTGCTGTTTTGCTGTTTCCTTTCTCAAACACTGTGACCCCTGCCTGGGATCTGCCTTTACTAGGTCTGGGTGTGACTTCACTGGGATAGTTTCAGGAGGCATGGGATGACACCCACCTGTCTTGCTACCCTAAAGTAACAGAAATTTGGGGGTTTTTTTGATAGGAGGCAGTTCGATACCACAACATTACCACACTCCAGCTGGAACTGTATGAATTCGCGAAGGAACATCTGATGGATGATGATGAGGTGAGTTTTCTAGAAATTAAATCAGGGTAAAAAAAAGCATCAATCACGTTTAAAGTGAAGATGATATGTAGCTGTAATTCCAGGATTTCACTAATATGGAAAAATCTTGTAACCTCGACCAATTTTTAATAAATTTTTGTTTGGTAAGTGGAATATAAGAACAAACCCAAAGAACATCATGTACCATTTAAAAAACATGGACAGAATTAACGCAAAGGTAAATGCATAATGCACTGAGCCCACAGAAAAGAAAGGAAAACCAGTTTTCGAGTTGTAACACCAGGGGGCAGAGAAATGGTGCATATATATTTAAACAAAATGTTTTTCTGGGTTTGGTGTTTTGCAGGGGCCAGGAGGGGGTGTGGATTTTTTTTCTGAAGTGTTATTTAAATTAGACTTAAAGGTCCTTATGGTTTTGTCCAGAAGTAACCACCTAAATTGTAGTTTTTGTCCAAAGGAAATCTTGTTATTTGTTATTTTCTTCTGCTCAGTGGCATTTTGGTCACCCATTAATGCTTTTTAGATGGTTGGAATTCATGGTCAAATAACATATAATGACTACTATTTACACTGGAAAATATGTAGGAGGGATTTTTTTTTTTTGGTGTAAGAAAAGTAGTTTAATTGTTGAAAGGGCATTTCCTTCCGCAGCTGAAATTAAAGTATAATTTATGAGAGGTTTTGGATTGCCTTTTGCTTTGATTTTGGGTCCTTTCATTTAGAGGTTTAGAAAAATCTTCAAATGATGAAATGTTGCTGGCATTGACAAAGAAAGAGTTGTGCTCTGTTATGACATGAGGCAAGGGTATCTGTAAAGAGCACTGCAGAAGTCTTTTCTAGTTAGAAAAGATGAAGATGGTTTATGTTAAAAAATGAAAACACCTTTGCAAATTTTGTTATCCAACACATAGGGAGAGAGAATATTTTACAGCAGAGAAGTAATGTCTGTGCCGCCTTCAGTATATGTGATCTGAAAACGACTCTATGTAAAATTCCATTGCAAGATTACCAGACTACAGGAAGGCTTTCCATTGTGATAAAGCCCCCTGAAAGACAGCTTAATAAACTTGCTTTAGGGTTAAGCTTCGATGAGGACTAGTCTGTATGGATTTTCATCAAGGTGTGAAATACTTGAGCACTTTTTATATTCCTTTGTTGGTTTATGCTTTGTCCATGATGTTTTCTTATGTTAGGCATCAATTTAATTTGTACTTTTTTCTTTCTGACCTATCTGTGCTTCAAAACACAGGGATGAATATTTAAGGAGGGGCTGAAGAAATCCTTTTTGAGGGTTTTCCCCATATGTTGGAAGAAGAAGGGGTTATAGGACAATCTTCAGCCTCCATCACTGTGTGTAGAATAAACAAGCATTCAGTTGCTGGTGTTCATTCCTGTAGCCCCTTTCACCAGGGCAATTACAAATGACCTTACAGACTTCAGGAGGGTGGTGCAGTGTAAACCTCAGTTAAACTTTTCAGCTGACAAGGAAGTCACATTACACTGGATTATATGTTTGGATTAAACAACCAAAATTACTGGGCCTGCTTATGCTGCAGACATCCCTACCTCACACTCTCTTTGTTTAGGAAAGTTACCATTCTTCTTCTCAGGGGAAAAGCTGAAGGGCTGCTGTGCCCTCCCTTCCTACAGCCCAAAAACCTGTGGGGGATGGAGGCTGTCCATGCCTCTGGCTTGGCTCTGGCTTTTGGTAGTGAACTCATAAATCCCTGGCTACCAGAACTTGTCTTTGTCTGCAGGAGACTTCCAGGGAGTGCAGACAGAGCAGGAATAGCACAAAGGTAAAACCACTACCTTGCAGTTTCTGCTCTATGGGCAGGACCTGGTAGTTTAAGTGGAATTTTTATTTTGTTTAATATTTCTCCTGGCACAGATAGAAAAGTTTGTTCAATAGGAATGTTGAAAACTGATGAAAACTCCAGATAAGGCATTACAGTAAAAACTTTATTAAAAATTGTTAAGGATGGAGGCAAGCTCTCTTCTAAGTGCACTCTGTTTATTTAAACCATGTGCTCCTTGGGCCACAGGCCATACTTTCTGTGAGTTTCTGTGGTCCATGTTTTCTGTTTGTGAAGTTTCTTGTGGGCCAGTAAGATAGCCCGCAAGATAATCTGCAGGAAAAAAATAATTCTTTTTCCCTTGACGGAAGTGAAAGAATTGATGTGGCAAGAGGATCACTTCCTATGTGAGTGTCATTATTTTCAAGTGGAGAATCTCATTTTATCCAGACTTCCTAGTGCTCCTGTATCCCAAATCATCCATGTGTCTTTCTAAATCCCCTTAGCAAAGCGAGGGAAAACATTTGGCTCCTACAGGAATACATAGCAGTAATTGCAGAGGCTGGAACAGGCAGTAATGATTTTTGCATATGTTACTATAAGAAATACTGTCCTGCTTGTGTTACTCTATTAATGTTTTTCCACAAGGAAATGAAAAACTCCTAATTCAAACATTTAACACAGTAGAGGTGACAGAATATTAGCGCCAGCTAGCTACAAATTACGTTTAAGAAAAAGTAATTATTCTTAAATATCCTTGCAGCTTTCCACAGGGAAGTTAAAAGAACATTACAGTGTTTCCATCTTGGTTGGCCATGGATAGACAAGCTTCTTGATTTCTGTTCAGATGTGTAATGCATCAAGGCTATCATGGATACAGCTCCTGGTACTGCACAGATTTAAGTGGCAATCTGAAATGCTGTTAAGAACCAGACACTCAGCTAGTGTAGATGTAACTCCAACACCACACTAATTGAATGAGACATATTTTTGGCCCATAAAATCAGTGTCCTTATGGAATTTTTCTGGGGGAGAGATAGCTACTTAGCTGTTCTAAAATGCATAAGAACCACAACTATTTGGCAGGGATGAGCCTACAATATGATTTTTCTTTCAGTACTTAATCAGTAGGTGAAAAGCTGTTGGCAGCTTTGACTCACTTTTTTTGGACATCTTTTTATTTGTATATAGTGTGTGTTCCATTTGTATAGTGGCTGAAATTAAAATGCTCTGTTTCATCACATCCATGTAATGCAAAGAAGAATAAATACTGAACTGATGTGGCTGGTGGAAAGAGGACATAAGCATCAAAACACGAGGGCCCCAGTGGAATACTGATAGCAAATAGTAATCTGAGTTCAGCCTATTTTTCTGTTTGGGAGTTGCTAATAACATACTTTGAGCTTTATTAACTCACTCCTTGCATATGTTCAAATGATTTACACAAGCTTGCTTGTAACAGCAAGTGGTTAAGTGCAGATCTGTAAATCCTGCCCTGCCTGTGACCTCAGACCAGCACAGCTCCAACAGCACTGCTGCCCTAAGAGCTGGTGGCAGCTGTTCCATAGAGATTTGCCAGCTAATGGGCAGTGTTATGGTCCCTGTTCAACACACACTTTTTTAAAGAAAAAATAAGATGAGGTGGTTGTGGTTTTTTTTTTTCCCATCAACATTTTCTAGTGGAGATTCTTCTCATATGGCTGGGTCTTTCTGCTTTCTCCTCTTGCTTCTGCTGATGCTATGTAAGCCATCATGCAAGGAAAGCTGCCAGCATGGTTGGGCTTAAATGCCAGGATGGCCCCAAGCTGCAGGTACTGGCAATTAGGAGGAACTGCTACTGTCCAGATTCTCTTACACTTCTGCATGTGACGTAAAGCAGGCCAGAGAGGACAAGCAGAGCTCAGAAGCAAGGCTGCTGGAAGGCTTCTGCTTTCAGTGCAATTGGAGCAATGTTGAATGCCCTCTGAAACTGAGTTGACTCAGGTTTTATAGGTCTTATAAATAAGTTAAAAGGAAAGCACATTTACTGGTTTACTGTAAAATACTACTGAAATAACTGCAGTGTACTGTAGTCTCCCATAATATATAGGAAAAAACAGTTAAAGAATATATCATTGATATGAAGTGGAAAAATATTTGAGAAAGTAGTTAATATTAATGTAAAAAACAACTAAGCTCTCTTAATACTGAAGAAAAAAAAAGCCCTATAAGCATGGGGCAGTTGGGCACACTGTGGACTAAGTAGCTGAAAAAGAAATAAGTTAAGGGTCAAGTAATTTTTCTGCACAAAAAATTGAGGAATTTTTATATTTTTTCCCCAGCTAGAATGTGAAGAATGTCCAGTCTGGACTGTACAGCTCATGGAAGTTCTGGCAGGTCTTTGAGGTGGTTACAGTTAACTCTCAGATTTTAACTGAAGGTTAGATCAAGAAATTTTCTCTAGGTTGAGGGCTGAATAAACCTTTCAGGCTGAGCCACTAATTGACACATGCCTTACTGTTACCCTGAAATAATGTTTTCCCTCTCTAAAACATTAGGCCAGTGAGCTTTGTGGTGTATATGTGCAGGCTCTGTCAGGTCCATGGAGCAAATGTCCTCCACAGTCATCCATATCAAGCCTTAGCCTTCACTCTTGCAAGGTGATTATTTGTTCTTGAACAAAATCTGCTGGTTTTCATAGCCTGATCATTGTGACTACTCCCATTACTTACTAGGGCAGTTACAGGACAATAATTAATTACAGGGCTGCTAGCTCCTCACCTAGAGGCTGCTCTTCTCACTACCACAACCTGACCACCTACACCCAGTACATGAGGGAATCAAATCTGTTGCTTTCACTGTTGAACGAGGTTCCAATCATTGAGGTCTTTGAACTTTAGCAAAATTTGAGTTTTTGCTCTGAAGGAGAACCGAGGGACACTTTGTGAAATATTTTTCTTCTAGGTCATAGATTATAAGGAAACAAAGATACAGCCAATTCTTCATGCTCTGTGTGTTGTCTCTTAAGGCTGTTTGTTGGATAAGTTAGAATAGAAGCTGTTTGATATTCATTCACTGGTAATCACATATAAAAGCATGTCCAGAATAATAATTTTTTGTGGATCTTAATTCATTCTAGAACACTGTCTTTTATTATCTTCTCTGTTGCTTCCCTGAAGAATGAACTATCCCACTACAGTACATACAGAATCCCTATAGGAGAGGCCATCAACAGATCTGCATTGGAAAGTATGAGCTCTTAAAAGAAAGCTAATTGTGTCCCATAGCTTTTCCTGTCCACACTGAGAAAGGGCAGAACAGATTATAGGTGGAGGCAAGGACCCATGAATGATTAATGCTTGCATTTGCAGAAGGCAATCATTGCAAGCAGTGGCAAAGTGTCTGGCTCTGTCAGTGGGCAGTGCAACTGCTGCTGGCTACTGTTTTTAAATGATGCTGTTGAAAGAAAGTTGGTGCTGGACCATCAGCCTCAAGTGTGCCATAACAGTGCCAGGTACTTGTAGCTCTTCCTCTTTGGTGTTTTATTTTAATAGTTGGCTAGGAGTCTCCAAAGTACAGTTGTTTCTCTAAAAAAGCTGTGTTTTGTGAATGTGAATGTGACGTTTAATGTTGCATAAGGAAGGGCCTGGCCCAATGTATATCGTGGTCTTGGACATTCAGTACACTGAGGTACTAAGTGAGGCAATCTTCTCCTTTTTAGGTCTTTTTTTTTTTTTCCAGTACTCTTGCGTCTCATATGATGGTGCCCCAGTCTCACTAGCCTGGGTTACCTTATTCAGAATTGACCAAGAACTCTATTTTAAGATTATTTTTTATTATAATCCACCTACTCACATGCCCTTGGTAAAACCTTTTTGAATTAATTACTGTGGCACACAGTTTGTTCTTTCTGTCTATGCCTCATTTCATTGTTAATCTACACCAAGAGTGTTCACTTTGCATATCTAACAGATAATTAAGGGTTCCAGTTGGACAGATCAGCTTCTCTGATTCCTCAGGCCACTCACACCAGTCTGGGAACATTCCTCTTTTTCTGCTTGATATCACACCTCTCATATTTCAGGCTATACCTCTTCCATCTTTTCCCATACATCCTTGGTCTGTCAGTCCCACTCTCCACTGACTATTCCTGGACTGGGAGAGGGAAGAGGTTGGAAGCAGAGGGTGGGAGGTTGTGGGGTGCCACAGAGCTGCTCAACCTGTACCTGGCCAACCTGAAGGACGCGACTCTGGACCAAGGGCTCGGCAGGGAGGAAATGCTTGCCTGCAGCTGACCAAGCAGCCCACCTGTGTGTACTTCCCACTTGTTGGTTGCCTGACCATCACTCCTGTACTGGTCTGGCAGCAAACCCTTCTCTTCCCGAGCTAGCCAGACTTCCCCTCCTGATCTCCTACCTAGTAGCCAGACGTCTGCGTCGCCCTTTGGGCCATGGGTTGCTCACCATGGTTTACATCAGCCCTGGGCTGGAGCAGTGTGTCTGTGTTCCCTGCCTTGGAGCTGGTGGCTGTTGTGCCCTCGGGTAGCTGGCAGTGGAAAGAATTATGGGTTTGCAGCCGACTTTGCATGGCAAATTGGATGTTCTTCCTGTGAAGGTAGGGAGGAGCCAAAGAACACACAGGTGAGAGGAGGGACTCTGTCTCACTGAGGGAGTAAATCGTATCAAAGGTTCATTTCAGACTCCAGGTCTGCTGGCATAGATCAGCACGAAGTTACTGGATATCAGCAGACAGAAGGCTTCTTTCCCTGGAATGAACACCTGTGGAGTATGTACTGAGTTTAGCCATGCTAGATGTCTGGTGCAGTGTGAAGTGAGTGCTAATGGGACAAGTACAGTGCTGGCCTGCTCACAACTGCCTGTGTGACAATATGATCACCTCCTCTGAGGCAGAGTTATCACCTTTTCATTGGGCTGCCAATCTCTCTAGTGACAACTTGCAAATGTTTCACATTTTGATTGTGAAGGCGCAGGCAAAAATATTTTAACTGGGTTTTTGTCTTGTATCTGGAGATTTTGCCTTTTCCAAAATAACCAACATCCAGGCAATTACTCAGTTGCATTGCAGCATATTTTATGTATATTGTTTCAGCAACTGTTTTTATTTTTTTGCCATATTTCAACCTCTCTTATTCCTCGGTACATCTAATTAGACCACAATAGCTTCTGCAATGTTTTCCTTTAGATCTCAGTTTCAGACACTAGAATTTTCAGATTTCAGGTTGTTTAGGGGTTTTTTCCTAATATTGTTACATTTAAATATCCTTTTTCATTTCTTACATATTTCTGGATTTGAAAACATACCAGAAATAAAAAACCTTGAATTTTGTCTGTATGTTGTGTGTCTTCTGTCTTAGTGATGAGTGTGACAATAATATGTTGGATAATTAAATCTTTTGATTTAATTCAAAGCACAACAAATTGCCATCCTTCAGGACTTGCTAAAATCACTTCATAGTTTCAAAATCTCAGTGGTCTTTTCAGATGGAACTGTGAAGCAGAGAATAAGAACAGCAGCTATTTCAGCCAGCTTTCCTCCTGCTTTTATTTTTGTTTGCTTAGTTTCGTTATTTGTCTCCTGACTAGTCATACTTCCTAAAAGTGTGATGTTAATACTTTTTAATCACAATATCCATAATACCATTATTGTATTCCAAATAGAAAAAATTTCTCTATTTCCTCTTGTTTTCATTGACAGAGTTTTAATGCCCTTTTCTCACCAGAACAGAAATTGGTAAAATTTTGACTCTCAGAATGTGTCTAGAAGACGCTGTCTTTTGAAGGGATGCTTATTTAGACAAAATTGTCCTAAAAATGTAATTGGGATTGTAAGCATCAATTAAACAGACTCAGAAGCCCAATACAGTTCACAGACTTGGAATGGGTGGTGAAGTAAAGAAGGGAAATGAGCATCCAAACAAGGATGACTTGCTTTCAACATAACTGGTATAAGTTCTCATTAATTTAAATATGAGAATTGAGTACAAGCTGATCAGGTTTTCCAGCAGAAAATGACAATTTATTTTGGAATAAAACGAAATTATATCTTAAGACCTTTTCGGACAGTAGTTTTCTGTCAAGAAAGAAGGGACAGAAAGGTTGAAAGAAAACAGAGTTAAATTAAGAGTTTGTCAGAACATTTTAGTCACTACAGTAAAAGGTTGGAAGTGTGGCATTGAGCATCTGCATCTCTCTAAGTTGTATCAAAAAGTGAGGATGGGCACAGGTATTCCCACAGGGACTCCCCTCTCAGGCAGTGTTTCTGAACTGTGCATGGAAAGCAAACCAGAAAATACTGGTGTTTCTGAGGGTGCCAGCAGATGGGCTGTTACAGGCAGTTTTGAGTAGTAGGAGATGCTGCTGCACAGGTGCTGTTGACAACCTGCTTTCACCTCTTGAAGGTGTTACCTTGTTAGAATTGATCACAGAAGGTTTTAGCTCAGTTATTGTAGTTCAGTTGACAAGACAGTAAGTTCCAGCCAGTGGGGCTGTATCATCCCAGCGTACTCAGGCTGGAATGCAGGAGGACATTTTACTAAGGTATAGGACACAGAACTTTGTTAGGAGTAGTTTAAATAAAGTTGGATTGCTGCATTGTGTTGATGCCCTGTGTTAGCAGAGTGGAGCTCGTAAATTTTCTGGTCTGAATCTAAACTCAGTGTATTTGTTTCCAGTATGGAAAACATTATAGTATCTCTGGTTCTTCACATTTTTGCTGCATTGAAGCATGGCTTGTGAAGATCTGTGGTTGAAAATGGAGAAGGTGTGTGTTGAAGGGTGTGACAGGGGATGTAAACGGTTAGAGCAGACATACAAAGTCAAAGTTATGGCTCTACAAAACGCTTTGGCTTCGAATTTTGAAGCTTTCTAAATTTTTTAATGTTTTATGGCATTCTAACAACTTCCTAATTTAACAGGTGATTTAAACATTTATTCCTCTCTAAGTTTGAGGATTTCATTGTCTATTCAAGTACCTGTAAAAGTATGAGAGAATTTACTGTGAAGTGTATAACATTTTCTCCTTTTAAGGTCTGTGTCACTGCAAGTCTTGTGCTATGCCGGTATGGACCATTTACCTGCATTTTATAGATTTGTTGCACTAGTGTCTGCATGGAAGGTGTTAAAAATATTTGCACACATATTATTACAGTTTATTTTTTTATTAAAATAGCAGAAATTCCCACCGATTTTGGGGGTTAATTTATTTCTGTTAAATTTAATAATTTCTAGGGTGAAGTTGTGGAATTCCTTGATGATCTGCTAGAAGTGGAGGAAAAGAAGGAATCCTGATGAATGAAACCACCATGAAGTATTTTACAGAAGCAAAGACTCACCATTGCTCCTTATTATTATTTTTGATCACCTGTAGTTCCAGTTAGATATACCTCAAAGGTGCTTCTTTAAGCTGCACCTTTTGTCCCAAGATCCACTCCTGAAAGGTCACTTCCGTGCTGCACTGACTCTTCTGTGAGCATGGCTTTTCACTGTGCAGAACTGGTGCACATGAGTTTCCCCCTTGAGCTTTCTTTCCCTTACACAAACACAACAAAACAGAGTATTTCTGTTTCCTAGGATAACACTAAGGTTCCTCATTTCTGTGCTATTCTACTAAGTTGTAGCAGTACAGCTAAATTCTCAAGAACTTTTGTCAGATTATGAACTGTGAAAGACATAACAGTTCCTCTTTCTGAGCTATGAATTGTATTATTTATATATATCTTTCTATGTGATGTTGAATAAAGTGATAATGAATTCCAGTGCACCTGAAAGATATTAAGGTACATCTAAATAGCTGAAATAAGGTGTTTAACAAAGCACAATTAATGGTCTTATAAACATTGCTTAAAGAATTATGAAAGCGGTGTTGATCTTTCTTGAAAGCTAAATTAAATTCCACTGTGTGAAACTGAGAATAAAAATATTTTTTTCTTCCTACCAGTTTTTAGTCTTTCTGTTGAAACAGCCTGTGGTTCCTGTTGAGGTGGGGCCAGTCTTGTATGAAATACTGATGATTGATGAGTTTAGTATTCTCTCCTGTAAAATAATAGTTTGTGTGGTTTTTTCGGCCTATCTGCATATCCCATCTGGTGGGACTATCTGCATAGTTTTCATCCAAAGGTAAGTGCAGGTGGAAATTGAGGTGATTTTCAATAGAAAAATGAAAAATATTTACATGTGAATTCCTGTCTTTTTGTTAACTGTACAGCATAAATATTGGTACACACCAAAAAATGGTGTGATAGAGAAGAGTAATGAATTAGTGCCTAATTCTACTGAAGACCAAACATCCCCTTGAACTCAGAGAAGGATACAGGATTTCATCCTGTGCTTTTCTCTTTTGTTTTCAAGGATCAAGCCCTGCAAGTGGTTTCATCCTGCTTGCATCAAGAGATGAACCTTCAGTGCAAATGAGCATCCAGATAAGCATTCACTTCCTATGATGGAACTGTAATTCAGATGAATGGAAGTGAATTACAAACCCTTAATCTGCTTTGAGTTTTTAAAAAGGCAAAACATGATCTACATTAGCTTGCCAAGTTGTTGCTGCTATAGTTTATATAAGATGTAGTAGTCTACACTATTGAGTGTCTATAGGGAATAAGAAGGAGAATCCATAGGATAAGATTTCAGTGTCCTTCAGCACATGACAGCAACGAAACATTTGAATTTGAGTGTGGAAGATGTTTGGAAGATCAGATTGGCTTTTTAAACTGCTTTAATATAAATCACAACTAATCCACTGAAGTTGATCACAGTGCAGAATGTTTCAATCTCAAAATGAAAATCCATCCAGAGCCTTTTAACTTTTAAGAGATTTGCCCAGCTTAGCTTGTGGTGAGGAAACCAAAATCTGGCTTGCTGCGTGCTTTGAACTGACAGGGTTGTATGTATCACATTTCGTCATGGTTTTGTTCTACACAATATTAGCTCTCCACTCATAATTTTATTTAAGAATTGAAATTTGCTTTTAAAAGTTCTTTACAAGCAGTTGAGTGTAAACCATCACTTCATCCCATGAAATACATGTAATATCCTACTGGGGGAGGTTCTCCAATTTATCCTTGGTTTTCTCTTGTTGGAGGTATGTGTATGCTCAAAGGAGAAGTACTTACTGTGGAGTCCCTTTTTGTCCTTCTGCCTTCCAGCCTGATGGACAACTCCAGATTTTGTCCTCAGGAGCTCAGTCAGTGACGAGGAGAGACCTCACTGCAGTTACAACTTCCTTGTGAGGAGAAGAGGAGGGACAGGCACTGATCTCTATGGTGACCAGTGTCAGGACCCGAGGGAATGGCCTGAAGTTGTGTCAGGGAAGATTAAGGTTGGCTATTAGAAAAAGAATCTTCACCCGGAGGGTGGTTGGTGAGTCTTGGGGATGTCCTGTGCAGGGCCAGGAGTTGAACTCCATCATCCTTGTGAGTCCCTTGCAGCTCATAATATTGTGTGATCCTGTGATTCTGTGACAGCCAATAGCTTCATCTTTGATACTCTAGCATTCAAATCCAGAAATGCCACCATTAAAGGGTGTGGAGCTGGTTAGAGATGGATGTACCTCTACATTCGTTTAACAGCATTTTTAGTTTACATTTTTGCTATCACCATTTACCAGGCTGACTCCAGAGCTCTGCCAAGCTCTGGCTGTTGCCTGGCTTTTTGTTTCTGTGGTGCCCTGTGGTGTCCCAGATCCGTGTGCTCTCTGTAGGTACTGCAGCTCAAAGGCTCCAAGAGAGATGGTTGTAATTCAGGTTCTTGAGCCCAAGGTGTCCCATGACTATACATCTTGTGTGGAAATAACACGTGCATAGAACTCCTAATCAGGTGCTGCCTGTTGGGGGAGAAAGTAGCATAGACTGCAGTAGGTACAAAATGAGAGAAAATAAGCTCCAATTCGTTTTGCACCCAGAATTATTTCTCTCCAGTTAAAGAACTCCATTCCCCTTTCTAGCACTAATTGTCTGAGATTCCTATTATGTTTTTAAAAGAGCAAAGGACATGGTAAAATACTGCCATTTTTTCACTCCACCAGTAAAAACTAAGCACCAGTTACCTGTTTTGTGATTCATTTGACTTCAACAGATTACAGTGGGAATACATTTGGTGCCTATGAACCCTGATTTTTTCTCTTCATTGAACCATTTTTCAATGGTTATTGCAAGGTGTTATCAGTTTCAATGGTTATCTCAGGTGTTATCAGTTTTCTGGCAAGCTTGTGATTTGGTCTTCAAGGCTTCCTTAGCTAATCCCTTCTCATGTTCACTCATTTCCTCAGCTCTTCATCTTGCAGCTAAACTCCCCTCCCATTTTGCCTTCTCAGGTGGGGATTTCATGAGATGTCCATTAGCCAATAATACATTTTTCTTAAATAGGTTAGTCTGATGTCCTTTACCATTTGATTTAACTTGAGGCATCTGATGGCTCTTGTGGCCTTGTGAGATGGCACTGTGATCCTTTTTTAATTTTTTTCAAGTGTCTGTGGATTTTTTTCTGGCCTTCCTAATTTCTACTATGGATAGTTCCAAGCCAGTTCTATCCTAGTAAGTACAAGTAGTTCTCAAACCCTTGTTCTTTTCTAGTGAGAAATATCTCTTTCAGTTCTTCAGTATTGTGGCTTTTTTCAGAATTCTCAGGTTCTTTAAACTGATTTTTCTTTTCCTGCTGCTATTGTTAAATGCCAGCATTTACATGTGACTGTAATAACTAAGTGTCTCTTCTTCCACTTCTCTGATTCTGCCAACTCTTCTTGGGAGGCAGTGGGAATATTCTTGTCTCCCTTCTGCCACCCCAAATTCCTGCAGCTGTGAGTCTGCCTCAGATGTTAGCAGCTTCTGCCTAACCAGATGGGATATTTAGATTTGTCTCCACTTTTGGCGAGGTTTACAGTATGATGCTGATGCTTATGGCAACATCATCTTGCTGAACACACCATGTTCATGTGACAGGTTTGAATGCAGCATTGGTACTGTGTCCCTGGCTACCTTGGCGGTCGTATTGCCTGTTGTAGAGCTGCACAGCTACACTTTTTAATAATTACTCACACTTCTAACAGCAAAGCTGGCTGTCTTGGTAGCTGCTGTTGGCCTCTGATGCTCTGTCAGTGCTCACAAGGAAGCCTGCAATAATTCCATCTGCATGTCGTTCCATCACCACTTAGAGGCGAATGGTGGGTGAAGTCCATCTTCTGGCAGAGTCCTAGCACAGGGGTCTGCATGCATGTGAGTCCTGAGCTTGTTTTCTTATTGAATGAGGTCCTGCATGATTGGGAACTGCTTGGAAGCAGAAAATTAAACTGTGTCAGAAACAGTGTCACACTGAAGTGGAAATTTGTTTAGGTGAAAAACACAACCACTGGCTGTCAGGACAGTGTTTCTTACATAAGCACTAAAGCTTGGGTAAGGGAAGACATGCACAGGTTAAAAATCAGAGCATTTTACAGACTCTAAGAGTATAATCATTTTAAAATTAATGTCTAGTCTTACTGATAGCAATTTTTTTTATTACTGGCTCCTTGCAAATTCATCCTCACAAATGGCAACATCCATTAAAACTAGGAAGAAGGATGGTAGTAATTTTTCTCCTCAAAGCTTAATTATGCTCCAATAAAAGAGCATTTCAGGCTCCATATTTCTGTGCCTTGGCAATTCCTATTGCCAACAAAATCAACTATGAAAAACAAATACTTTTAGAATGATCACTTCTGGCAAATTCAAAGGGAATACAAATGTCCTGCTGGGCCCTTTCATTTGCCGTAGCAATCCTGCAAGCAGACCTTCATTACTTCTGTTGACAGGGCGTGAGCCAAAAGCAAATTCAAATTGCTCCGTTTTCCAGGGCTTTACTGCTTTGTAATGGTAGAATATAAACCCAAAAGTTAGACAGTTGCTGTTCTTAATTCACCCAAAGAGCCCATCCAGCCAAGGAGGTGTCATTTCTCCATGCTTTCCAGACAAAATATCCCCCTGAAAATATGATAGTATGTCCTGCTTTACAAAACTCTTTCTCAATAGACTGTTGCCATCAATACCCACCATTTATCTTCACATCCTTTACAGTGAATTTTTGGTCTGTATTGATAATGGAGGCACACGTAGAAAATCTTTCCATTTCAAGAGAGTCTTCCTGAAAAAGGGTTTAAATAGCGTACAAATTTTACAGCTCTGAAAACGGAGTCATGATTAGACAAAGATTTGTTGGATTATAAAAGTACAAGTGTTTATTATGGCTGGTACTGAGAATAAACAGTTGCCTGCATATGCCAGCTACTATGGAAATATGTTTTTAAGTTCTAATGTGAGCTGTAAACCAAAGCTACTTCAGTTAAAAAAATTCAATACTTAAACTGTAGGGAGGAGCAGCCAGTGCCAGAGAAAACATTCCCATTTAATAATGTTTGAACATAGAGCTGTGATGCAGTTTGTAGCAAGGCAGTGAGAAAAACCCACAACTAATCTTTCATTGCAGCTGTCTGAACTTTTGGTCGTCTGCCATACTTTAAACAGCGACTTCTTTTTCCTGGTGACTCAAGACTTGAATGACCTAGTGTGGAGAGTTTAAGCTCTACACAAAAAAGGAGTTAAGTAAGGAATAGCCAAAGTAAGTTGGGTTGCACACCCCAGCAAATCACGGTTTGTATCTTAAGTCCTCTTCAGTGCCTAGGAGAAAATATTAAAATAAATAGATACATTTTTATTTATTTATTTTTGGCAAGGAAATATTCAGTGGTTTAGGCATCCATCTCTCCTTCGTCCCCTCTTCTCTCTCCTTAAAGTACTGATGTTATATGGAAATTAAATTTGTAGAGAGTTTGAATTTTGAAGTTTATAAATGCTAACCTTTCATGTTGAAAAACTTTCTAAGTTTTCTTTGATTATTTTTAACTTCTTCCCATTGATATATCTCATGGGTAGGTCTTTTCAGCATCATGAAGTAACAAATGTGCT